CAGATTACATCCACACTCATTAAAAAAATTTGTTTTTCATATTTAGTACATTGTTAGGGTCTAGGACTCCGGGGTTTCCCAGAGAACAAGACACACGGACACGGAGATGAAAATCCAAGCAAAGTCTTTATTCAGCCAGCAAGCTGGGGTCGACAGCACCTCCCCTGACATGCAGGCCGAGTCTGAGCTGCCGACCCGAAGCAACTTTGGGTATTGATTATATAGGATCTTCACAGCAGTTACATCAAAGCCCATGCAGTTCTACAACTAATAGGTTTAAAACACACTCTATATTGTAACCAATGGGAAACATTGTAACCTTTTTAGGGAACGCGCCAGTTGCCTGCCCGCTTCAATTGTTATCTCTTGCTTACCCAAGCATGTCTATGTGACTTATTACGGGTTACATCTCCAGGCGTTCCCGGGCTGTTGCCCACTTCTAGTTATCTAACTTAGGGTAGGCGCACTTCTCAGAAGCCTCGGGTAATTTACACAAGAAAAGACTGGGTGGCTCTCGCTCTAGGCAGTTAGGTTAAGTGTCATTAGTTCTTTTTCTTGACTTGATGCTCTCTGCACTCTGTTACAACATCACTTAAAATTCATGGTGATGGTGAGATAGGGACCGTGGTTGTAGTCAGAGCAGGGTGAGGGCCTCCGGAAAAAGCAAGGCAGGATATTTGCAGTCAGAGCAATGTAACTACATGCAAGGAAACCTCCTATCAAAACTCTATTAAACATTCAGCTCTAGAGTCATTCTTCAGTGCGATCACTTAATATTCCCCAGATAAAGAGAAGCACATGTTTTTATTATGCTAATCATGTGAAAGATTCACGTTAACATGCTAAAAGGCCCAGGCCTATGTGCTGTCTTTCCTCCTTCAGATCTGATGAAGTGATTTTGCAAACTGGGCAAACTAATTTAGCCTGCAGGCCCAGCCATAAACAACACCGTAAAAGGCAGGGAGGATTCCACCTTAAAGGTAAGACTGCATGTTAATACCCAAGAAATTAAGAAGTTAGAAATTCTTAACTTACCTTTTAGCAAACAATACCTCAGCCCACCTTGGGGGCTGGGCAGGTGGCCTTGTTTCATGTGCCCCCAGACCAAGATACTGGTATCTCAGAGAGAAATTATCAGAGCAGGAAGTTGCTTGTGTTAAATTAATTCTAAATATTCAGGGAGCACTCAATAAGTCCACACTCCTAAGCTTTTTTTCATGTTCTCAAAAATCCTCTACTGCCTATAAAACCCCTAGACAACACACCACTACAGACTCTTGGAGCACTGTCCTTTCACTTTATCTCTAAATAAAAGCCTGTACCTTGCTCTCCTACTTGTGTTTGTGAAGCTCATTCTTCAGCTTTGTGAACAAGAACCCTGGCATCAATGGTACTAAATAATTTTAAGAAATCACAGACTATCCAATGACTATGAAATTTGGAAGGCTTGAACACTTTCTTCAGTTATTGTAGAAAGAAAGAACACTCTTGACAATGGAAACTCATTGCTTTTTTTCTTGAAAACAGTTTGAAATCATAGATTTTTTTTTATATTGATGATAATCAGTTTATAGATCTCTTAAACTGGAGTACTCTTTCATGCCAAGATTAATGGTAGAACTTTTGTGTAGACTTAGTTTATTCTACTCTGGGCAAAGAACTGGATTTATGTGGTTACTTGAGAACTCATATCTGTTTGCAGTTCAGGATATTCCTAGAGGACTTTAAATGAAACATTTTTAAAGTACCAAAGAAACAGTCTTCACTGTCACTAATAGGAAAAATATGAAGCAATAAATGATATTGTTGAAAACGTATGTTTTTTACCCCCAGTCATCCCTAACATGTTAAAAAAACCCACAGAAACAATTTATCCTTATAGTTACTTTAACAAGAGTAACTAAATTATGAGGGAGGGACTCAGAACAACTACAAAGGGCACGGGTGAAGATGAATTCAGACCAATTTAGATGTAAGACAATGACATGTGTGGGTAAAATTGAAACATTTCCAGAATTTCTCGCCTGGCTTTGGTGCATCTGCATATCAACAGGCTTTCAGAGGTGTACAAGTAGGCTTTAGTGCATTTCCATCTTTCCTCAGGGGTGGAGAAGTTCATCTCATTATCAATGGGTAATTACCTGGGCAACAGAGGGCTTATCTGTACCTGAGAGGTGAGGGGGAGGGTCGGTGTGGTTGCTGCTTGAGCAGAGAAGAAAGACAGCCTGGGACTGCAGTTTTGCAAGCAATAAATGGGTTTTAAACTTTATTTCTCCCTTCGACTGATTTTCATTTTTAGAGGTATTTTGCCCTGGGATTTCCTTTTCTCGGACTTACAACATGAAATTCCAAACATTCTACAATAGGTGCACTGCTGGGTTTTACAAGGTGTGTAAGTCCAACTGATGATTGACAAGAAAATATAAAAAGAAACTGAATGGCAGTACATTATCTCTATCAGCAGGGTGAGAGCTTGGGCAGCCCTGCTGGACCAGAAGCTGTGGTTTCAGAATACACATATCTTATCTTGCTACTTCACCCATGGAACCCCCAACCAGGCTGGAGAATCACACAATGGGTAACTTTAGCCAGGTTCATCCTAGGTACAAAGTGACCCACAGTTCTTTGTATACAGTACATTGCTTTGATAGTACTTCTCTTAAGTTTAGACTCCCTTTTCTCAGCTGTGGAGGTGAGTTAAAAGCTTGCTGCTGGGCTGGATGCAAAGGAGACAAATACACAGCATGCAGGTCAAGGCCTACTCCATTAAAAAAAAGAGATTATGTCTTTGTAGAATATGCCACATCTTTTTTTCTCCTGAAATATAATTCTTTGCTACATACTCTATAAAAAAGACCCAAAGTTAAGTCAACTTGAAATAGAAGCTGCTTAAAAATAAAAGCTTTCTTTTCTAAGAGATATTTAAAAAGATATAAAGCAGAAGTGGACTTGAATTTCAAACAAACTAAAATCACTCAGATTTCTTTAAAGTCAAGCTGAAAGTTAAATACCTAAGGCAAGTGTCTTTGTTAGTACTTGAACTAAAGCTCTACAAAGCTCTAATGGGTACTTGTAGTGTAGAAAACACAGAAGTCAGAAAGTTAATAGTAGCAAGAAACTAAATGACTCTTAGGAAGGAATCTCAAAACTAAATTTTCACCTACTCCTTTGCTCTCTAAACCAAAATGACTCTCTAACAGGTGTCTCTAGATATAATTTTTGCCAGATGTGAGCAGTATTTGATGCTTTTCTGCCCATCTTTTACTGTAAGGAATACTGAGAGGTAAAGGTATCCTGTCTGTCCCTTTTTAAATAGCTATAGGATAAAGAGTACAATAAAAAGAGAAAATCAGTTGATCTATAGAACTGAGTTTTATACTGAGAAATGCAATGGAAAAATTCCATAATACAGGACTTAAAAGTTTCTTTAAGGCTCAGTCTATGACCCTAAAATTAAAAAATATATATTATAGTGAGAGTCAGGTCCATGGCCATCCAACTCAGTATCTTCTAATTGCTCTAGGCATGTATAATAGGAACAAACACAACCTTCATAAATCTGAGAGACAATCACTATAAATGGACAAAGGAAGGTGGGGGTCTTATTTGAAATGTTAAATGAACTTCAGAGTCAGAATTAAGGTGAGGTAAGAAAGACATCTTGGGTGCAAAATTTTAGGAGGCACTTACCCTCAGGTATGTGCATGGCCCTGTGAGTGAACGCCCCCTGAAGTCCCAGTGCCCCTTTTGCCTCACCCCGGTCCCTGCACAGATGGAATGAGTTACCTACAAAAATCAGAGGGAACTAGCAAAAGAAAACCAAACCAGAGCTGTAACTGGTGAGGCCTCTGAAGGAGAGCTGGCAAGGTCACACATACAGTGGGAAAAGACAGAGAAGAAAACATGTAATTATAGCATCTCTCTCTGCCTATTCAGTCACCTATGGACTATTTCTTGCTCTATGACACTGTGTTTGAAAATCACACTAAAGAGAAGGGAGTGAGTTCATAAGACATCTAGTTAATTACCTGTTTATGCTTCCAAGATGTCCCAATATTGCCTGTTAAATAGGCTCACTGCTTACCAACTTATTTTATGTAATGTCTTTTAAGGTTAGTTGCTGGTTTTAAGATTTGCAGCTNGTGTGGACAGAAGTTCCTTAACAAAGGGGAAGAATTTGCTTGTTACTCTAGTGTGGTGGGGGAGAGCACGAACCCAGAAAGATGAAATGGCAGGGTCCATGATAGAGAGCCACAGAACCTGCAATGCAACTCTTGCTCACATGTCTTCTTTAAAATACGTGTTTAGTCTAGACCAACATTGTTCAACAGAACTTTCTCTGCTGCTGGACATGTTCTACAGCTCTGGTATCTAAAAGGTGGCTACTAATTATTTTAAATGTGACTAATGTGATTGAGGAACTGAATTTTTAATTTTATATACTTTTAATACAAATTTCAGTAGCCATATGTAGTAGTGGGTATCATATTGGACAGCATAGTTCTAAGCATGCAAACATGTATTATGTCTGATGACTGGACTGCTTTATGCCATTCAGTGTAGGAGCTGATTAGTAATCTAGGTTGATGCTAGGCAAAAGAGAGAAGGAAGCCAAGAAAAGCATAGAATTTATGGAAAATTCAGTAATGTGGCTTAAAGCAAAATAATGGCACTTAATTAAGCAAAGCAATATTTGCCTTGTTTAGTTAAGAGTTTCTCAAGCTTTATTCTCAGAATAAGAATCAGGGATATGAAGCCTTTAAGGCTTTTTATAACCAGGAAAAGTATGCACTAGAAAATAGAGCAGGGAGTATTATCCTGAAATACTTTTAGAAAGAAAATTAAACTTCTATCTCTGCCTATCTATTACTCTGCTATAGTCTCATTATTTACATTACAAAGCTAGTAATGTTCTAATGAGTAAAATTTCCTCTATCCTAAAGGCAAAGACATTAATTGAATAAGATTGTAACATGATGTAAATTTTTATTGCTCAATACCTGAAATGGGGGGAAATAAACAAGCCATCTTTCAATGTGGCTGGCATACCACCCTGGGATCAAACATCTCTTCTGTAAGGCTCTAAGCTCGGAGGGTGCACGGGGCCCCGCTGTGATCACTTCGTAGAAGCTGAACTTCAGAGCGGCGGGGTTTTCATGTGATCGCTGATGCTATGATGAAAAGGTGGATAATTAAACTAACTTGTAACATAGGCATAAATAATTAAAACAAATCTCTGTGACAAGTCTCAAAGCTAAAGGAAGAAATGCCTTCCTTCTGGAGGTTATATGTTTTGCAATTAATAAGGATGAAAATGTTTGCTTGGAGCACCAGGACTTAAAGTTATGACACTGATGAAAGTGTATTTTTGAGAACATATTTGGTAGTGGCTGAACTCTTATTGACAGGATTCCTTAATCAACTTTACTGGTTGTTTCTTTAGTGTGTATGTTTTATTCTGAAAGCAAACTTTTGAAAGTTGCTTTAATGACCTCTTTTCAGCCCATAAGCAAACCATTTATCATATCCAGTGAATAATGCACAAGCACTCTACTAGTTCTGCCACATAGTTTTGCTCCCTCCATTTAGTAATGCAGTTTTAGCTTAGAAAAGTCCTATTGGCTATTTTAAATGGGAAAATTATTGAAAATCTGACATGTACATTCAGCCTTTTTAATATACTACCTAGCATCTAAAAGCTGAGATTATTTTAGGTAATGGTAACCTTTGCAATAAATCAGAATCACTTATTGTACAAAACTTCAGAAAGCAGCAATCCAGATAGGAAAGCATTTCATAATGGCTCACACTCAGGCCCATGGGTTTGAGGAAATCACCTTTTCACTAAATTGACTAATAAATATTCAGGCTTAGTGGTGGGTTTCTGGATGTTTACCACATCTAGCTGAATAGCAAATTTGCTGCAATTGAGATTCAAATTACTACACTACAATCTATTGACTTTGTCAAGGCCTTCATTTTGCCACTCTGGAATGATTTATGTGTAATATTTCAGACATTTTGTTAGTTTTCAGCATTGAAATCTTTTTTAGTAAATTCTCAATTTTTCAGGAACTAAATGGTTGCCAAACTTCAGTTTTCTCCTTTCTTTGAGTCAATTAAGGCTTATTTCTTTTTTTTCCAGATACCTGGTGAAAAAGGTAAGAGGCACAATGGCTCTAAGAGTTTGGCATGAATGATTAACGTGCAATTGTGGATTTCAGTTTTCCAGGATGTTCACTCTCTATTATGCCGATTATTATCAATATGCCTATTTAAGTTCCCACCTGCTTTATATAAACTTTTCCCACTCTGTCCCAGTCACAAAACCTTTCCTGATAATTGAAAAAACTGTTTCTGTCAAATAAAAAGACCCGGTGCTAAGAAATTTTGTTCTCTAATTTCATACATTGTCAGGAATTTAAGTGTTTGAAATCCTGTCAATGCGAATGGAACATTCTTGACTGGAGAATTGAAGTTATGTGGACACTTTAATACAGAGAAGCAGACTTATTTTCAACCCAGGTGCAGAGTTTCAGATAAGGGATTTTGGACCAAAATTCCACATTTATCTTAACTTTATAGTTTCCAAGGAAATTGGACTCTTGGTCTACTTTTCAACCCTGTCCTGCTAATAACCCCCTTACACATAGCCCTGCTTTGCACCTATCAAAATAGTCCATTTCAATTTTACCTACATTGCTGCCCTTACAAATCCTTCCCTTTACGGGAATGCCTAATAGTTTCTCTGGTGTTCAGGCTCCTCTGCTGCAGCCAATTATACCTAACTTGTTGTTCCCTGTAGTGTTTATCAGATGGACGTTACCACTCTGTAGGAGTCTGTCATTTAATACTTTCTGATTTATACACTGTTTATTTATACATATTTTTCTGATTAGATTGAAGTCATTCTTGAGTGTAGCATCCATATTTATTAATTTGTCTTCAAACTGCACTTAAAATAATACTTTACATATGGTAGTCATTAAAATTATTTAATGAATGGATGAACACATGAACATTAGGAAAGTGTTCTTTAAATTAAGTTTTTTAATTTAAGGATCCTAGAGACTAAAGATGCTGAATCTAATTCATTTTGTATGTTATATTTAATTTGTACTGCTTTTTTTAATTAAAGAATCATGTATATACAATCTTATGAAGGTTTCACATACACAACACTATGGATTCAACATTCACCCATATTATCAAGTCCTCACCCCACATCATAGTCAGTGTCCATCAGCAAGTAAGATACTGTAGCATCATTACTTGTCTTATCCATGCTGTCACCTGTACTTCTTAAAAAAAAAATTTAAGGTACACAGCATGTTACATTGATACATGTGTAGAGTATAATATGACCACCATTGAAGCAATATTTCTCACATCATATCATTTGGGTATAGTATTATTGATTTATTCATTATATTTTGCATTAGATGTCTATGGCTTATTTACTACTTGTTACACTTGTACCCTTACATGCCACCAATGATTTTTTTAAATTAAGGCATCATTGATATACAATCTTATGGAGGTTTCACATGAGCAACATTTGGTTACTACATTCACCAATATTATCAAATTCCCCCCACTACCCACTGCAGTCACTGTCCATCAGCATAGCAAGATGCTACAGAGTTACTACTTGCCTTGTCTATGTTACACTGTCTTTCCCTTGACTGTCTATGTTGACTGTCTTTCCCTACACCATGTGTGACAGTCATAATGTCCCACAATCCTCTTCTCCCTCCCTCCACACCCACCCTCCCCCATTCCTCCCCTTTGGTAACTGCTAGGCCCTTCATGGAGTCTGTGAGTCCACTGCTGTTTTGTTCCTTCAGATTTGCTTTGTTGTTATACTCCAGAGATGAGGGAAATCATTTGGTACCTATCTTTCTCTGCCTGGCTTATTTAACTGAGCATGACACCCCCAGCTCCATCCATGTTGTTGCAAATGGTAGAATTTGTTTTTTTCTTATGGCTGAATAATATTCCTTGTGTATATGTACCACCTCTTCTTTATCCATTCATCTACCGATGGACACTTAGGTTGCTTCCATATCTTGGCTGTGGTAAATAGTACTGCAATAAACATAGGAATGCATATGTCTTTTTGAATCTGGAATCTTGTTTTCTTTGGGTAAATTCCTAGGAGTGGAATTCCTGGGTCAAATGGTAGTCATATTTTTAGTTTTTTGAGGAACCTCCATACTGCTTTCCACACTGGTTGAATTAGTTTACATTCTCACCAGCAATGTAGGAGGGTTCCCCTTTCTCCACATCCTCACCAACATTTGTTGTTGTTTATCTTTTGGATGGTGGCCATACTAACTGGTGTGAGGTGATATTTCATTGTGGTTTTAATTTGCATCTCCCTGATAATTAGCGATGTGGAGCATCTTTTCATGTGCCTGTTGGCCATCTGAAATTCTTTGGAGAAGTGTCTGTTCATATCCTCTGCCCATTTTTTATTTTTATTTTTTTATATTTTGTTATCATTAATCTACAATTATGTGAACAGTATGTTTACTAGGCTTGCCCCTTCACCAAGTCCCCCCCACAAACCCCATTACCGTCACTGTCCATCAGTGTAGTAAGATGCCGTAGAAGCACTACTTGTCTTCTCTGTGTTGTACAGCCCTCCCTATGACCCCCCACATTATACATGCTAATCGTAATGCCCTCTTTCTTTTTTCCCCGCCCTTATCCCTCCCTTCCCACCCATCCTCCCCAGTCCCTTTCCCTTTGGTAACTGTTAGTCCATTCTTGGTTTCTGTGATTCTGCTGCTGTTTTGTTCCTTCAGTTTTTCTTTGTTCTTATACTCCACATATGAGTGAAATCATTTGGTACTTGTCTTTCTCCACTTGGCTTATTTCACTGAGCATAATACCCTCTAGCTCCATCCATGTTGTTGCAGATGGTAGGATTTGTTTTCTTCTTATGGCTGAATAATATTCCATTGTGTATTTATCCATTCATCTACTGATGGACACTTAAGTTGCTTCCATTTATTGGCTACTGTAAATAGTGCTGCAATAAACATAGGGATGCATCTGTCTTTTTCAAACTGGGCTGCTGCATTCTTAAGGTAAATTCCTAGGAGCGGAATTCCTGGCTCAAATGGTATTTCTATTTTGAGCTTTTTGAGGAACCTCCATACTGTTTTCCACAATGGTTAAACTAATTTACATTCCCACTGCCCATTTTTTAACTGGATTATTTGCTTTTTGGGTGTTGAGGAGTGTGAGTTATTTACATATTTTAGATGTTAAACCCTTATCACATATGTAATTTATGAATATGTTCTCCCATACTGTAGGATGCCTTTTTTTTCTACTGATGGTGTCCTTTGCTCTACAGAAGCTTTTTTTTCAATGTAGTCCCATTTATTCATTTTTGCTTTTGTTTCCCTTGTCTGAGGAGATGTGATCAGAAAAAAGTTGCTCATGTTTATATTCAAGAGATTTTTGCCTATGTTTTCTTCTAAGAGTTTTATGGTTTCATGACTTACATTCAGGTCTTTGATCAATTTTGAGTTTAATTTTGTGCATGGAGTTAGAGAATAATCCAGTTTCATTCTCTTACATGTAGCTGTCCAGTTTTGCCAATACCAGTGTTGAGAGGCTGTCGTTTCCCCATTGTATATCCATGGCTCCTTTAACATATATTAATTGACCATATGTGCTTCAGTTTATTTCTGGGTTCTCTATTCTTTTCCACTGACCTGTGGGTCTGTTCTTGAATCAGTACCAAATTGTCTTAATTACTGTGGCTTTGTAGTAGAGCTTGAAGTTGAGGCAAGTAATTCCCCCAGGTTTATTATTCTTAGGATTGTTTTGGCTATTCAGGGTCTTTTGTGGTTCCATATGAATTTTAGAACTATTCTAGTTCATTCAAGAATGCTGTTAGTATTTTGATAGGGATTGCATTGAATCTGTAGATTGCTTTAGGCAGGATGGCCATTTTGACAACATTAATTCTTCCTACCCATGAGCACAGGATGTATTTCCATTTATTGGTGTCTTCTCTAATTTCTCTCATTAGTGTCTTGTAGTTTTCAGGATATAGGTCTTTCACTTCCTTGGTTAGGTTTATTCCTAGTTATTTTATTCTTTTTGATTCAATTGTGAATGGAATTGTTTTCCTGATTTCTCTTTCTGCTAG